TCGATGGACTCTAAAAGTAAGGTAGAGGTGCCAACCGGATATAAACTTGTTGTTGAGACAGCAAACTTCGATATGTCTACACTCGAAGGTGATAACAATGGTCCACTGATCAACACGGATTCATTTGCATCGTTTGTAGTTAATGGAATCGTTTCTGTTCAAGACCCTCCAACAGCAACACATTATATGGTCATTGCAATAAGCACATCAGCACAAGTGTATCAAGGCTCTCTGCCAACACAAATCAAAAACAAGTGCTCACAAAGAGCACTAGTGTATAACTCAGACGTTCAGTCATTCAATTGTTCGTCTCTTACACAATTGGAAACAAAGACATGCACTGTCAACTCAACTTATTTGAAGGACTCTGTAGATCTTGATAAAGACGTGTATTTGTCCAACCCCGATAAGGCTTGCCCGTGTTACAACGACATATCTGGTAAAGGTGGGGACTGTCTCATTCTACTTGAAACCGCCTCAGCTACCCCAGTCACAGTCATGGCAACAAAAGATGAACACAGATTTACAAAAATGGAACTTACTGGAAACTTTGCTTTGAATCTCAAAGTGCTTGTCATCTACTCGACACTTACGTTGAATGGTGGGGTTGTGACAATAAATTCAGAGTCAAACACGAAAATTGCTGCTATTGAAATTACAAAAACAACAACACTTGTGCTCAACACCCCATCAACAATTGGAAAAATCACTGTGAAAGACGGCGTCGAATTCACTCTGAAATGCAACTATGACACTTTCATCGAGGCTTCAAATGTTGGAGCTTTTGGGCTTTATGTTGGTAAAACGTTGTCGATCAGAGGTGCAGATTCTATTGTTACAATCAATTTGCTTGATGTCAAAATGACTGCGACTCAAATGAGTAAAGTTTATATCTTTGGAGGCGCCAAGTTGAACTTCAGCGAAGCAACAGTCAAACTTGAAAAGAGTAAGGACTTCAAAGACACTTCTGTGATTGAAGCTGATAATGTCAATTCAATCACTTTTGTAAATACAAACAATAAAGATCCAGTCAAAACAGAGATGTCTGGTGAGGCTGCAGCTCAAGTGTGCACCCCATTTGTTCTGTTCTCTACCGCATCACAAACTGAAGAAAGTTCAGACTGCCAACTCAGACTTAGATGTGGTGGGTCGATGTGGATCATCTGCCCA